GGGGCAGGTGTGCTCAGTCGCTGCTTGGCAGAGTATCGTGTTGTGAGGCCGAACCCAGCAAACACAGCAGGAGTACTGTAGTCGTTCCTGGGAGCGTCGATTTTCTCGGCATGCTGGGGTCCCTGAAAAACATTTTTGAGTTGCTCTCTTCGTCACTGCCGTCTCTTTCCTCACACTCTTCAACCTTCTCCCCCGCACTCGACGCATCTTTCCCCCCATCGCGGCCACCATCTCTCTCAAAAAAGGAATGGCATCAAGACTTAACTTGGGCTGCGTATGTTCATCTGTGCGGGGTGCACGGCGTTGGTGTCTGACTGCGAGTTCTTGGAGACCAGACGCGAAGGAAACACCAGCTAGTTCCTCCCCGCCTCAGAGAAAATGCCTTCGAAATCTGATTGAATTTCGTCCCTTCGCGCTTGAGATGGAATATAGGAAGTGCGGCTTGATCTTGAGAGAGATGCCGGAAAAAATAACCCTACAAGCCTCACTGAGGCAAACCCCAAGCGCATGGGAGGTAACTTATTCTCTCAGTTGGCCAAGTTCATGCTGGGGCCAAATTTGTCTGGCCAAGCTTCGAAGCGCAACACGGGGGAATGGGCCGTCGGCTGCGGCACTCAAAACAAACGTAACAAAGACGGAACTTTCTTCCTCGCTTCCCTGAGGATATCCCATACATACAAGTTCGGGATGAGAGGTATACTGGAAGAATAGGAGGGCTGGTGCGGACACATCTCAGGTGCCGCAACAACCGATACACTGAAGCGTTCCGAGAATCATGGGAACTGGGGAGATCGTTGACGCTGATGGATACACGGGTCTCCCACTGCTGGCGTGAGCTGGCGGACCACTTGTGGCACCGCCTTGCTACCTTCTGGACTCTCTCTCCTTGCCCAAAAATGAACGAGGGACACCTGCCTGCCCCGGCCAGTGGGCGAAAGCGACCGCGACCTTGGGATACACCAATCTGGCCCGTCGCCTACGCTACAGGGAAGCCCAAGTCGCCACGAGACGAAAAACAAACAAAATAACAACGACATTCCCATACAACAGGAAAACAACTGATGGACATTCGCTACTTCTTGTGCTCATGTGTCATATCAAGCTCCCGTTGGACAACTGACACGAACCACCGCACTTCGTGCTTCGTGTGCTGCTACAGTACTGTCTCACATCAAGCTCCTTGGCTATGCTGAGGGCGATCGGCACCGCGAGTGCAGCCGCTGCGTTGTTGGTGATCAGCTCCGTGCACACCTGCACCTCGACAGCCAAAGAAAAAACACCGAACGTGGATAGTAAGTCCTTCGTATGTCATGCCCGGCTAAGGGTAAAAACAATTAGCGCAAAAGAGCGAGGCACAAAAACAACTACTAAATGACAACGTGTGCGAACATGTCCCCCCCCCCCGGCGTCGTAGGCTCGGTCGCATCGGAACTTGGGAACTGCCACTGCTCGCACTCTCTGCCCCCTCTACAAGTAACCAATAATATAAGTTGACTCCGATGAGTACCTTCCGTCCGTCTGTCATGAAACACTCACGAGAGAAGTCGTGAATAAATACGCCCGTGTCGCAGACCGAAAGGCACTGCCCTTGTCTAGCTGACAGAGGCCCGGAGGCCAATAGTACCTCTAAAACAACCAAACACACACACACAAACACAAACACACACATGCTGCCCCCTCACGGGGTCCCAGTTCATGGCAGATAGAAGTGCTTTGTGTTTTTAACCGCACTAAGACTGACGTCTTTTCATTGGTCAGCCGGTTAGCGCGGTCGATGCTAATAATAAACACACACACACACACACCGCAGAGCCAAAGACCGCCACTTTTCTAACCTGCAAAAAAAAAAACTGATCGCGCAGGATCTCGCGGAGCGCGATAAAAAAGACAAGGAGACGTGTTGACAAGACAAATCCACAAGAATAAGGGAAATAAGGCAAAGGGGGATCTAGTAAATGCAAATGTCAAACACCCATACAACAAGAGGTGATCAGAATGTCTACAATCAAAACAGGGGAACACCCCGGCAGTCGAACCGCGCACTCACCATGGTGAATCCGTACAGGAGGTAGAGGCTGGCAGAGGCGCTCATCCCAGAATCTTTGATGGCATTCCCAGCGTACCCCGCGAGCCCGCTGTTAGCGATGGCCTTGCTCAGCCCGAGCGCTGACCCGACCAGCAGCAGCAAGGACCAGTCGACGTAGCCCACGCTCTTCCTAGGGTCCACCCATCCCCCCACTATCAACACGCCTCCGGCAGCGAACGCCGCTCGCACCTGGAGAGAAAACCATCCACGAGGTGCCGGGAGCAGCAGCAGCAGTAGCAGCAGGGTGGCTACATAGGCGCGGTGAACGTATCGTTGGTCACCGACTACACCACACCACTTCGCAAGAACTCACCGAGGTTCGCTTCTTTGTTTCTCCGTTGCGTACAAACACAGCGGCTACAGAAGGGTTTACGGTAGGATTATTTTTCTGAGCACCCGTCTTTACGGTTCCAACGAGCTTCGATCGCAGCCTGGAAATCTTGACTCGCAGGGCCCCTTGAGTGGTGGTAGTATTCCGTCCCCCGACACGCCTCCAAAGCTCACCATGGTGACGCTGGAGAACAGCACCCACCCCAGCATGCCGCAGAACACCAGCAAAGACAGATAATCGTACGGGACCACCGCCTTCGGAACGGCGCTGACCCGCGAAACCAGGTCGAACTCCGGCGCATCCTGCCACAGTCCCGAGAACGTTTCGTCGGCGACAACGAGGACAACGTCCCCGGGCGCCAGCGGCCGCCTCGCCACCTTCACGCTCCCCTCCGCGGCAGCGAGACCCACCGGACCATCATCATCATCATCGTGGCCGTGCACGACAGCGCCAGACCCTGCGGTGCGTTGCCTCTCATCTTCGCTGCCGCCCCCGCCGCGCAGGGGACTCTCCACGCCTTCCTCCTTACGGGCAAAGGACCGCCCCCCGTGCCTGCGCTCGAGAGCGGAGATGGCCACATCCCCCCCGGCCGCCAGGGGCGCCGCCAGCATCTCCCCGCCCTCTCTTTGAGCCGTCCTGCTGCTGTCAGCGGCGTGGCGCACGGCGAGGATCCGGCAACCGTAGCGAGACGCCAGCGCGGCGCCCTCGTGCCCCGAGGGCCGCCGTCCGACGAAGTGGTTGCGACCGGACAGGACTAGCTCCAGGAACGCAGCGGCGGGCTCCACCGCCGTGTCGCCTGACGGTGCTGCTGTCGGCGCTCTCTGCAGCTGCGCCGCGCTCGCGCCGAGCACCTCGAGCCCCCTCTCGCCCGAGCTCAGGACGGACCCCAAGAAGGCGGTCATGGTGGCCTGGGGCCGGCTCACCACGAGGACGTCTCCGGCCCGCACGGCTTCCGAGGGGGAAACGGGATAGATGTCGTCGAAGTCGTCGTCGTCGTCGTCGGCTGTGCCGCTCGGCGGCCCTCTACCGGCAACACCGCTCGAGAAAGGGCGACCCCGCGATGGTAGCGCGCTTGGTCTGCCTGAGTGCTGCGACGGGGATAGGGCCATGGTCGTCGATGAGGACGACGACAGCGATGACGGCAGCAGCGCTCCCGCGCCGCGGGCTACGACGACAGCAGGAGTCGGCCCGTCTGCTGTCCCGGGATAACCCTTCCGGCGTCGCATCGGGGAGGAGCTGCTGCCGGCAGTCCCCCTGCCTGGAGAAGGGCATGCAGCAGCGGAGCTCGGCCCTTCTTCCAGACGTTTTCTGCGACCCGGTAACGCGGGCGAACCGGTCCTTCCATTGTCCAAGTCCCGGTAAACCTCCCGCAGGGGGCTCACTGCCGCTGGAAACGCCGCCGCCACCCTCGGCGCCGCCGCCGCTGTCCTCCGTCGGATCTTGATGAGAGATTCGGCCGGGAGGCCTAGTCGTGCCAGGACGACCGCGACGGGCTTTCCGATGTACGCGAAGTCGTGCGACAACTGCACCTGAAAGAAGTCGGAGGAGAGCGCAGAACGCCGACATCGCACACAGCAAACAGAGGGTTGGGTTGGAGGGAGGGGGGTAACTTGAGGTTGTTGCCTGCGTTTGACTTTGGTCGTGGGCCATCGAAACACGCACCACCTTTTTTGTTCGAGCTAAGTTCGAATTTTCTGGTAGAAGCACTGCTGTGTCCTGTTCGGTGGCCTGTACTCTTCTGCCATTCGCGCCCAAGACAAACGGGAAGGCTGAGTGGGTCTTAGAAATAGCCGCCACGGGCGCATTCGTCCGAGTCTCCCAACAGCACTGCGACGCAGCTCTCCTCTACGGATTACAAAGTAGGACAGATGAAGGTACAGAAAAGCTTCCATGTCACTGGCAGGTCAACTAGGCTGGAAAAAAGCCCACCACGATGAACAACCTTCGGCTCACACCGTCCTCTGTTGACTACGGGTGGCCGGCACCAATGCGCTCTTGACCATGCGTCACCTCTGTCAACAGCTCTTCCTCCCGCTCTCCGCTACGCCCGCCGCGGTCGCCGCCCCCGGCCCCTGCGAGGATGCGCGGCGCCGCAACCGAGAGGTACAGCATACCCACCACCCCGAGAGGCAGGCCGATGTACCCCGGCTCAAAGAAGCCCAGGCCTTCCTCGCCCCACTCCATCACCAAGCCCTGCACCACGAGGTTAGTGGAGGTGCCGATGATGGTCACCAGGCCTCCGAAGATGCACGCGTAGGAAAGCGGCATCAGCAGCAGCGCTGGGTTGAAGCCTCGCGTGACCGCCCAGTCCTGTGGTTTCGCGCATCGGCGGGGGAGATCAGATCAGAACAAGCACACGGAGAGTGCCAAAAAAAAAAAAAAACGCTGTTGTTTAGCATACTGTTCTCGGGCAAAGATCAGAACAAGCACACGGAGAGTGCCAAAACAACAACAAAAAAAACGCTGTTGTTTAGCGTACTGTGCTCGGGCAAAGATCAGAACAAGCACACGGAGAGTGCCAAAACAACGAAAAAAAACAACGCTGTTGTTAATAGCATACTGTTCTCGGGCAAGCCCGTCTCACTTTGGGAGTTTCTTCCCAACCCCTAAACATCCTTGGGTGGTTTCGTTCTCGACGCTTCAAACCTCCAGTCCCAGGCCTAACATGGCACAGCGCAAAGCGCAAATCCTATCGCTGCTGCCGCCAACGCCGTGCCCCAGCAACAAGAGTCGCGTGGTCGTCGTGATGCGTACCGGTGTCAGTTGTAGCTTTTACAGCACCTCGACAATGGACGCTGAACCCGCGCACAAGTACAGCGGGCCGATTACTGCTGTAGCTGCCCTTTTTCTCTCCCACACCCCGTTGTCTGCAGTATGCACAACAGTCCAAATCCAAAACACCTCCTGACCTTAGTGATGGGTATCAACATCGCCACCACCGGCGTGTTGTTCAGGAACGCCGACAGGAGGAAGGCGAGGCCCATGAGGCGGAGAAGGCCCGCGGTAAAACCGGTCCTCAACCCGAAGACGTGCTTGGCGGCTCTGTCGGCAAGCCGGGAACGTTCCACACCCTTGATTACCACGAAGAGGGAGCCCACGGCGAGGACGCCCGGGTTGTTGAATCCCGACAACGCCTCCTCGGTGGAAACCATGCCGGCGTTCCACACCAGGGTCAGGGCGAGGAAGACCTGGGGTGGGGATCCAGACCAGCAGCGACGACCGCGGGATGAAAAAGAAAACTCTGCTGTAGAGTTGACTGTGATTTGTACATGTATCACCTAAGAACTTAACAGTTCAGAACTTGAGCCTCAAAAATTCCAAAAACTAAGAACATGGCCCATAAGAACATGTGCTCAGTTCTGACGTCGTATAAGAACTAGAACCCGCCTTTGGTAGTGTACCAATGCGCATACAGATAAGAACGGAGCCTAAAACACGGGCGGCTGCAAGATAAGAACGCGAGCGAAGGTGGCGGGGGTGACCCCAACAGCAGTCAGATTCGAGGGGTGGGGGGGGGGGGGCACCCCGTGAAATATTCTTGCACGTGCCGAGGGAGGTGACCGATGTACACACAGTGTACCCCCTCTGCGAGGCATTTCGTGTGCTCGTGGTGCTGGGTGCCTGCCACGCTGTGTGCATGCTGATCACGCAATGGGTTGGGGCAGCCATGGAAATTCTCGACGGAGTACCGGTTTCGCCTTTTCGAGAAGTGCGGCATGGCGATAACTGTTGACGGTTCGGGTCATGACCGAATCAACTTGGAGGGTTTGGACAAACCTTATACCTTCATGGACGCCGAGGACTCCAGCGATGACGAGGGACCTCTAGAGCCTGGGGAGGGTGCGGGGGGAGGGGGTGACCAGAGGTTTGAGGGAGACGGAGACACCAGCAGGGAGGGCATGGAGGACGGCGGGTCCAGCGACCAAGACGATCACGGCAAGTTGGATGTTCACCAGACTCTTTGTATTTTGTCGTTGTTGTTGCCGTTTCTGTTGCTGTTGCTGCTGCTGCTGCTGCTGTTGTTGTTGTTGTTGTTGTTGTTGTTGTTGTTGTTACTGTTACTGCTGTTGCTTCCATGGATGTTTCATGTTGAGGAAACGTACTTTCTGACGACGGTGATGTTGCTGTGTGATTCAATGTTGATCTCTGCAGACACGGCCCGCGGCCAGAACGACGAGCTGAGTCTTCTGGACGAAGACGACACCATGGACCCGGCCGATGAGATTCACGGCATGGAGATTCCCGACGGTTTTCGCCTTCGAGAGGCTACTCCCGCTGCTCTTGATATTTCGTTACTGCAGCGTGGAGTACTAGTTAGGCTGAGCCTAGGTTGGTTCGGTGGGTTGATCACTCAGCAGTCTCAGGAGCGTACCCGTCACCTTTACGACTACCGTGTGCATTTTGAGCGAGACCAAAGTACACGCAGCATGAAGCTGCCGTTGGAGAAGTACAGTGGAGATGCGGATGCGGTGGTAGGGTCGTGGGTTTTGCTGCAGGGGGACAGCGTAGAGGAAGGAGGAGATCCTACCATCGCAGAGCAGTGGAGAGATCCGGCCACCAGCAGTGCAGTCACGACGGGAGGAGTTAGTAGAGCGGGGAGGATACGCACGCCCAACGGGACCCTTGTGGACCACTGAGCAGTCGAATGTTGCCCATGAAACCTCTTCTTACGGCGATGCTGCGTCTGTCTGCCCCTCTACTTTACAGTGATCGCGGAATCTGCAGTGCGTTCGATTCGGAGGTCCTGTTGAACGATAGCTTTCTGCTGGTGTCAAACACTCTACTTTCAAGTGTCACGTTGAAGTCCATCCGCATTGACCTGCGTCCTCTGCATGGAGTAATCGGCGAGAACAAGAACAACCCTATTATCGTAGGTGGATGCCTGCTCCAAATAAGAACTCGGCAAATAAGAACATGTGCTCGGTTTGGGGCAACCAACAAGCGTCGAGCCTCACGCAAAATAAGCGGTTCTTAAGTGGTGGCGCGTTCTGTAGTCTTTCTGTGAGGTTAGTCTAGATTTACTTTCTAAAAAACAAGTACGTTCCAAAGATGTAGCCTATGCATAAGAAAGACAGTTTGAAAAAAACAAGGCACGGATCGCATGCCTGTGCAAATGAGGCGCGCACAGCAAGCGCAGACACACCACCTATTATAGACGACACAGAGTCCTAACGCACATGTGTAATACAGGAAGAAGAATCGCGTAGCATATGATATGTAGCAGGTAAGTACAGCAGCAAGGGTACTTTTTTGCAGCGGTGCTATTTTGTACACTACAAGCAGTACCTTACTTGCTGTAGATATGCTGTGTTCTTGCTCACTAACTGGAGATCCTCACCACAACTTCCGGCGTTTTCCAGCCCACAAAGAGTAGGCCCAGCATCGCCACTAGGACGGAAGCCACAAAGAACGCCTCAAACACGCCCATGCTTGTTGGCAAAGGTAGCTCCAAGCAACTGCGCTGCGTGATAGGTGGTACATAGCTGAGCGGCGTGCGCGGCGCGATCAACATTGGGGGCTCCGTGAATTCTTGCGCATCCCCCCAAAACGTGTGCTCGTTGGTCGGTTCGTGTGTGTTGCACGGCCTGACGGCCTGTGCAACAGTGCGCGTTAGAAACCTTTTCACGAAGCAAGGCGAGCATAACATACTGCTATAAGTTGATGGTGGTGCCTCGAGACCAATAGGCAGCTGCTTTGGGTTCCAGGCGCGTCAGGTACCTGTAGGTAAAACGACGGGGGAAAGCTCAAAGAAAGATCCGGCGATCCAACCGGCAAGAGAACAAGAGAACGCGGCGTAACTGATACGCGGATCCTCAATTGGACGACCCCGCGAGGACTGCTGTATCCTACTTCAATCCTACAGCCAGTTGTAGGACTTGGACGCTTCCCGACCGGCCGACATCCAATCATGTCAGCATTACGGGTGCTCGTGGCCAGTTTGGTGTCGTGTCTCACGATCACGTACATCATCGGCGGGAACTCCCAGACTTGGCCATCGGATGCTGCTGCTGCTACTGCGATTGCATCGTCCGACTTCCTCTTCTCCGTCGACGTTGTGCTCGACGAATCCGCCGTTGCTGTACCTCTCGGTATCCGGGATGGTCAGACAGTTGCCGAGGTATGTCACGACAGTAGCGCTGTCGGGTTTAGTAGGGGACAAATGTCGTGGTAAAGGATGTCAACTGTTTCTCGCTGTCGGGTCGCGGTGCAATCGACGTGTTTATCCGTAGCATATCTTTCTTTGACATGACACGCACAGACGGGACAGCACCTTGTTTGATGACGATGTACTCATGTTTGACGTAACTCTCTCGTGCAGGCTGCATTGGGGTTCTGCCACGAGCAAGGGTTGGATGGAGCAATGCAATCTGCTCTAATGCCACAGCTGATGAAGGTTGGTTTGATCTGATCTAGATTGATTTGATCTACTGTACGGTTGTGTAGGCCACAAATAAAGTCAGTACAGTCTAAGGTGCATCGGTAGTTTGTACGGTCCAATACTGTTTGTAGACAAGAATACTCAAGGCTACTGCTGGATTGTTCACCTATACGCCGTCGAAGAACAATACGTTAGATATTATTTCATTCTGTCAAGACTTTTTTTGTAGTGAAGGACTCTAACTATCTATACAACAAGATTGCAAATTCTTCTTGATCAATCACCAATATTCATCATGTTTCCTCCTCACATCTCTCGCTAAGCTAACAATCCATGTGTACTGCCCATGTGTATCGTTAAACGAGAAAGGGGAATGGGAGAGGGGTACGGGGGACTGCAACACTTGAGCAACTTCTACCTCACTACTGACTACTACCTACTCTGTTTCGAATGACGTGTGGCACAAGGTTTTGGAGGACGGGATAACGGAGGTAGTCGGCCCACCTTTTCCTGTTGGGGACGAGGCATCAATTCCTTCTTCGGATGCGGAACGCGTGGCCTCTGACGCCCAAAGAGATGTCCCGGACGATTCGAAGCTTGCCGACCCTGTTCTTACCCTGGGAATTTCCATTGATGGGAACGAGGAGCGCCCGCTTTTCTACTACACCGGCCAGGCAAGCATGTTCGTCAACAGTACCATCCACACAATCCACAGCAGTAGGAAAAGTGAAAATTAGAGCTCGGCCGACGGCACAAACTTGGAAAAAAATCGTGAATGCCCCGCACCAAATCCTTGCATCAAGTCTTGAGTTACGCAGGGATACGTTAATTAGGCCGCAAACCATCTGGACAGTAGTAAATACATTGTAGTAGAATCCCGTCGTCATAGTGCCTCGTGGAAAAGTCCGACAACAACCCTTAGCAGTTCTTCTTTGGCCCACAACAAACCGCCAATGCAGCACTGCCATCCTGTATGTCCGTTCACAGAATGCACCCCCTACCCTCCCACGAACCTACACGCCACCTGTGGGTGCTTCAGGACCCCGAAAAGGTGGCCGTGGCGTTTTGTACGGAAAACCTGGTCTCCGAAAGTCTACCCGAGGATTTGGCGCGGTGCTCCGGGGCTCTCTCGGCGCACATCACCGAAACACTCGGCACCACCGATGAACCTTCGAGACACGATACACTACCGAAGCAGCAGCAGCAGCAGCAGCAGCAGCTACAACAGGGACAGGAACATTTAGAGAGGCACGGGTCCCTTGAAGAATCCAATCCATATTCCGCTGATGGTGTTGCTGTTGAGGGTCTGTTGATGACTGTGCCGCTCAACGTCAACGGGGTGGAGACGGTGCTGCAGATTTTCCGAGATTCCAACGCCAAGGATTTGGCGAGCGATTTCTGCCGTCGGGAAGAGTTTGGTCTTGAAGGGTCGTTCTTGGAAAGCTGTTCTTCTCAGGTATGTCTTTGTGATAGGTCATTTGCCTAGGATACCATCTGGGAGGTGTGTCTCGCAAGATTACCGACCATCTTGCCTAGACTCGGTTTCATTCCATTCCCACACAAGCAGTGGACCACTTGTTACAGTGCATTCCCTCTTCTCCAGCGTTGCCTGGGAGTGAGCGACAGCGACCGACGGAGAGAAAAAGGGAGGAACCGGGAAAGGAATTTGGGCTGAATTACGGACTTTATATCCTCGAAGTTACTCTCGTCGGTTCGGGGGTCCTAACACACACGCTCAACCAGAGGCATGAATAGGAAATACAAACCTCGGGATCATTTCGGGCTGCGGTGTGAAAGTTCTGCTCTGTGGAGAGTCGCGCGCCGCAGAATATGTTCCTGTGCTACCTTTAGCTACGCTACCGTAAGAGATAGATCATAACAAACGTTTAATCAATGCAGACGCTACGAATGAATGCCTCTTCCGATACGTTTGGTCCAACACCATGCCTGCCGCAGATGGTGGATATCGTGCACCGCGCGGTGGCGACTTACGAGAGACAAGACGACCAAAGCGGAGAACCACCGGAGCGAACACCGTTTACGTTTAAAGTTCCCGTAACTCTCGCGGGACTTCAACTTCATGCCGAGTTCAAGGTGGGCGCTTTGTTCAATTGCAATACACATGCTATCACAGCCAGTCAAGGAGACTCGAACGATCGTACAGCTGTTCTCCGCCGCATCTCCGGAGATGTAGGGGCACGCTTGCCGGCAGGGCAGCATGGCGTATCCTCGCGGACTTTCTCGATCTACTATTATAGTTCAAAACCCCTTATTTTGGCAAGACGGGGGGAGGGGTCACGAAGAGTATATTCGTGACGCGATGAAGTGTTTTGGGATTTGAACAGTCTACCATCGAGAGCAAGGCAACAGCAAGCACTGCTGTTTCAAGAGATCAATGAAAACAAAAGAAAACTAGTGAGTGTTCACCGGGCAGGGCAGGGTCTTCAGGGGTCGCAAAGCGTGTAAATCCCACCTCAATAGAGACCCCCAAGAACCAACCGTTTACCCCGTCACCACTCGCCCATCTTTGTTGACCCCCCCAGACCACCGAGACGCCTCGCACATCGGCTAGGCGATTCTGCACCCCTAACCTACCGGTGATCGAGTCCGCTCTGGGACTCGACGCCTACGAGGGGGAGGACGAGGGGAGGGGCGAGGAAGAGTCTACGGGGGTCGGGTTCTTTCTGTCGGAGGGACGGAAGAGCCTGAGAGAAGCGTGCACGGTGGTGGTGGAGGACGCGATCAACGCCGTGCTGCTGGGGATGCGCGAGAGGGTGGGTCGGATTCGATCTGTTATATTGTAGTGGCTCCATTCACGCTGTGTGAGAAAAACAGTTCGCCTGGAACGAGGTGTTAATGTTTTGATTATCGGGTCGATATTTGTGACTATACACTCTTCTTTTGTAGTTTTCGCTGCGACAACTCTTGCTAAAACTTGTCGGGGTCGGGATGAGCCCAGGTTTCTCTTGCTGATGTTTGTGGCCGTTGTGGACGAGATACGCCTTGCTTCCACCAATTCTTTCGTCGCATCGATCCACATCAGAGTCAGTCGTGGCGTAGGCCATTCACGCCCTCTCCCTCCCACATTGCCCATGATGGACACCACAAGATTTGCACAGTCCCTTTCTAGATGTGAAGGATTCACATCAAGCTTTTAGCCTCCAGCGTCACCTGTTTGATCACTTCAAAACCCGTTGTCTCTGCTCCGGCCATCCTCATACCCCGACGTGCCCCCCTCACAAAACAACAAGGTGCTAGAGGCGGAGCTGACCCAGGCGAATTCCACCTACTCCTCCAGCTATGACGACAGCAGTGATGGGTGGCCCCAGGAGGGAAGCGCAAGAGGGGCGTGGGCAGCTTCCCAGATTGCGGCAGATACAACGGCATAGCTCTTGCGCACGGGTCGGGGATGGACAAGGGCTTTGAAAGGAGGACACACCAAATCTAGTGGGTCTGCTCAGAAGGTTGTGACGACGAGACTATTTACCGCAGCAAGTCTTAGGTATCCGGTTGTTCTCTTGCTTCCCAACACATCTTCGTAGTCAACAAGTAAGTACTGAACTTTTCTGCCGGGAACAAACCCAATGACACAGTGCTCAACGAACGGTGATGTACGGGCGTGTTGAGCAAACGACTTATCGACAAGAAGTGAGCCGGCGGGTTGGGGAGAAAAACGTGGAGGTTGGGCGTCCCGGGTACTCGGTGTGGGACACGTCCCTCTCGGTGCTTGCTGTGAAGCATACGATGACAAGCGTGTGACGGTTGAGCAGTTAGACCATTGACTACGGGTCCTCGAAAGGACGGAGCATTGTTCCCACCGGACCGATCACCGATGGCCAATCGGTCCTTCCTACTTTGCCGAAACCGGGGGGGCGGGGGGCGTGTTCAACCAGGGTACATCTACGTGCGGGGAGCAGGCGAAAGGCCAGTGTCGCACTTTATCCTCTTTTCTCGCCGAATTATTAGTCGTCTGTACGACGATAATCCGTTCAGATTGATGTACATGTCCCTGCGGAATGGGGTTTATTTTCTCGAACGGGTGTTCCTTCTTTTGACATTTTGTAGAGTAGAAGAGACAACTAAACCGACGAGAAAAAACACGTACAGAGAGAGAGACAAGCCGCCGCGTTTCGTGTTTGGTCCCAAACACGGCGCCGAGATGTGACGGACGTCCACGAGACTGCGGGAGGATGCGTATTCTGTGTCCGCTCACTGGTCGGGCCCTAGCATAGATCTCTTGCCTTCGTCTTAAGCCCTAGGAATTTTGGTCAAGGGTCTGCTCGTACACCCGTCGCGCAGGTGTGCAAGGGTGGGTGCCTTGGCCCTAGAGAGGGGAAAAGTGGATGCGTAGATTGCGTAGATCTGGGGTGTTTAAAAAATGTGTCTTCTTGCCTCGGGAGATTTTTTAAAGGTTGGAGCAGACACTCAAGCCCCTGGGGGCTTGCGAATTCAGCCGAATAGGGTCCTTGGGCACATGGGAGGATAGGCGGGAGCGGGGGCACATGACGGCGATTTCCTGATCAGCGCGCCTGATCTGATGTTATGTCTGGTGTCTCTCCCACACCTCCTCGGCAGGATATATCGCCTTGGGCTGTTTGTACTCAAATGCGAAACGAACAAATCGAGCTGAAAGTCGAAGGGGTTGGGCCTGTCCCAAGCATTTCCTGCAGACGACAGCATCATCTTTGTTTTGTATGCCGTCGACTCACTTGCCGCGAGTTCATTGTCTTGCCCGTACTATTGCATTGTTTTCGTCAAGTTCCATACCCGAAGGAGCAGGAGAGCCACCTCGCACACAAAAAAAGCCAAGCCACAAAAGGGCTTCTCTGCACGGTCGTCCGCACTTGTGTTTTCTGCGCTGGATCACCCACAGCGGCCAACAGAACCACACGTCCTGAAAGAAACGCCACTTCATGCACAGAACCAGGACATAGTGCATATCCTCCAACAAAGCACCGGGACATCCCGCACCAATACGTGTCAAAGGTTTCTTCCTACAAGAGGAAATCAATCAAACTCCTCGTAGACTACCCCGGCTGGCTACAGTAGCCTTGGCGAAAGTCGATGACCAATGCGGGCTCGCGGAATACCGGAAGGGGACTTCGTCTACCGTCCTATCAGAGACACCGTTAAAACAAGCACCGCTCTCTACGTCAACGCTACTATCCAACACGGCCAACGTACATACGCTTGCAACATTTCTGGTGTACAGTAATTCAACATATTACAGGGGTCTCGCCGTACACAAGCGAAAAAATCAAGCCCACCATACAACGCCAGGCAGTTTTAGACGCGATGACTCTTCCCTAAGTATGACAGGGCCCCCCGCAGACCACAAGCGATTAAACCAAGCCCAACATACATTAAACACCGGCACACCAGGCGGGCACGATACAAGGATATGTCGAACCCCACTTTTTCCCGTGGTCAGTAGAAGGGCGGCATGACCTTCGCCTGCAAGAGGAAACAATGGCCGAGGAGGAGGGGGGGGGCGGGGGGGGGTGACGCAAGTATTGGAGGGGGTCATCATTCACCATTGTCCATCTCTGTGCGTCGTGTTCCTCGGGCATGCTGGTGTTGTCAGAAAGCCATTAGTGTAAACTAAAATTCCGGGTCAGGTTTCCTACGGTAAGCAATCTCCCACACTACTGACAGTTTTTGTTAAACCGCCCACGGGACACCCATGGGTCACTGGGCGGCCCATGAAGTGCCCACCGTGGGCACTTCAACCTAGAACTTGGCCACCTTCACCTCAACCTAGAACTTAGCCACGAGCGCCAACCTAGCACGTATCGTGTGGGCTTGGGGTTAGGGTACGGTTAGCGTTGGGGTTTTAGCCGCTATAGTGCCCGTCCGAAAGCAGTTAATCTACTTTTTAGGAGTACATTGGTTCGGTTGTAGGGCTCTCATTGGCCGCCCATGGGCTGCCCACGGGCTTCCGATGGTTACACTCATGGGCAGCCCATATGGGCTGCCCACGGGCATGGGCATGCCCATGGGTGACCCATGAGTGACCCATGGGTCACCCATGGGTGTCCCATGGGTCGTTTGTGAAACTGTAGAAAGTGTGGGAGACCCGGTAAGCCCCCCCGGAAGCTACATCACAATCTCGACCAAAGTTGCAATAGCGGTAGCACCAAAAAACAAAATTGACCTCATGGCAGAACAACCGCACCACTCATGGCTGGCGTTCGCGCAATTGCTGTGGACTATATTGGGCGTAGTATCTGGATGTACAAGCTGTTTCGTTGAACGTCAAAATGAAGTAAGAAAACGGGTAGCCTCTTCTCCCACTTGTCCTCCATCTCCGCACCATTGTCGTCGACAACTCTGTAGATCATAGAAAGCCAGCACAGCCTGCCATGGTTCACAGAACTTTCCGACAAGACATAGATCGTTCCTGCTGGCATCACTGCTTTCTCGGTGTATAGGTTTACAACAATCTCAAACATGCTCCGAACGGAATACGGTTCGTTATTCTCTCGCACGGGTACCCGGTTTTCGTACTGTAATCCACGTTTCCACGAACAGAGTGTCTCATCTGATCGCCCGCAGCCCGTTCGTTGTTCTCTCAACACATTAGCCTGTATTTTATCCAAAAACGAATGCTGACTGTCCGCGTCCCCTCCAAGATCACAAGCCATCCCGGCCTCACCCGCAAAGGCTACACACCTTCTCTGGCTGCTGCTGCTGCTGCTGCTGCTGCTGCTGCAACCGTCGGGCGCCGCTAGAGCCGTGGGAAGCAGCAAGTCCTTTTCGCCCCCCCGGAGGAGAAGCGGCGGTGTAGTCGACACCCGACGCCACCTTCTTCTCAGGATCATCCTTACGGGCAGCAGCTGCTTTGGCGGTGGCGCTGCCCTTGGGGCGGTTTTCCACACGAGCGCAGATGGATATGTGGGTGGGGGCCACGGCGGGCGAGAACCCGCGGAGACAGTGGGGGCACCGTACCTTGCTGGAGGTGTTACTGCTGCTGCTGCTGTTCTTGTTGGCGATGCCCCCGCCGTTGAAGGTGGCGGTGCGGGCCTTGTCGTCTTCGTCGATGGTGGTGGTATTGGAGGCGTCGGTGCCGCCGATGCGCGGTGAAGGTCCAGCCTTACAACACAAGAAGAAAATGGAGCACGGGGGGGGGGAGGTACGTGAGGTGGCCTTGACTAATAAGACAAAAGGGAAAGCGTAGAACCGCTCAAGAAACGAGAGAGAGAGCGGGGATCGAACGGCCGATCTACCGTAAAGCGTAAAACGGCACAGGGTAAGATCCCGGTGGTACGAAAAGTGGAACGGGAAACTACACGGGAAGACGCGTATCCATGCACCGACCAGGTGCATGAAAACCGATCGCGTACTATGACGATTCGCCCCAGCAGCCGCACGACCTCTACTACAGAGATGCTCGCAAACGTTCAGGCTGACTTTCAGAGAAGGGGACCCTAGCAAGCCAGTGAATTGCTTACCTCGGGTCTTGGACAGGTCTGAGACCTGCGCAACTTCTTGCACCGCAGGAGATGCGCCGAGAGCTTGGCGCGAGGGATGGAGGTGGAGCAGAAAGGGCAGTGCGCGCTGACCCAGAAGAAGCAAAAAAAAAAAAAAAAAACAGCAACAACAAAAATAGAGACAGCGGTAGTTGTTGGCAAGCCGTTGTCGTGGACATGCGGCGGCGGGTGTCACGCGAACAATTGGGCACGCTGGTCGGAAAACCAACGGCGGACAGAGAGAGAGAGAAGAAGAAAAAAAAAAAATATATATATATATAGAAAAAACAAGGGTGCATGAATCGGGCACAAATAGGGAGGGATGTATCATGGTACAAGGCAGTTCGGTGTGGAGTGCAACAAAGAACACGACGTCTCGAAAAAAAAAAGAAAATAAATATCGGACCGAAGCCTGTCGTCTGGTTGTCATAAAAGCAATCGTTAAACGAATGTTAATGTTTGCGGTGCCGCCAGAAACTCTCGCTGTGGGTAGTAGTACTTGCAGCAGCAGAAGCAACCAACCGTGCCCTGCAAGTAGGGTTTATGTGCAATGTGAAGGCGGGGGCACCGCGAAATCAGTCCACGGCGGCATGGCTTTCAGCTCGAGTGAATGGCTTTAGAGTCTTGGTTGATGCTGAAACCAAGGGGCATTTGAGTCGCGCTGGGATTCATTCTTCTCTTCCAGGATTCGGGGGGGCTACATGGCAACCAAAGGGTATTAGCGGAGAATCTACCAGCACAGAGCGCCATGCAGTCCCCTCTGAGAAATACAATCAAGGCCTCAGGCCGAGCTCCGCTGCCAAGCAACACGTACAATTTCAGTAGCCCCTCCCCCAACAACATGGGGGTTCTTCCAAGGGCTGCATTTGAGGCAAGCCCACCTCGTCACCTGTACCGTGTAAATCTGGGAGAGAGAAGAGGTGTTTGCAGTTTTCTCTCTAATAACCTTTTTCTGGACGGGCCCTACGTTCGTCAAGACAAGCCTACGTACGTCAAGACAAGGCAGGGTCACACCAAGAAAAGTTCATTCATTCGGACTCTGACTTGGTTTAAGACAATAAAACCACGTTCGTACCTTCCCTCGACCGCAGGCAGCGTCTTAAGGGCAACCTTCTTGCTCCTTCGGAGAAACGAGCCGCCCACCTCCCCTCCCGCCCCCCTCGAGGAACCCCCACCGGTCCCGACAGAAACATCCAGCTCCCCCGGGGACACGCAGTCCGCGCCCCCGCTCTGAGAGGACCCCTCCCGCCTCACGGAACTCCCTCCGACGGAGGACGGGTTGTTTCTGCCAACCCCCCTTCTCGATGCCGCGGTGCCCCCGCCGTCTCCCCCCGTTCCTGACGTGGAAGGGTTGCCGTCGGAGCTCGCCGCGCCTGTAGCGTCGGAAGTTGGTGTGTCGGGGCGCAGGGGATATCGGGGTAGGGTGTTCGAATTTGGTAAAGAGTAAGGCGTTTGGAGGGGGCTTGATAGCGGGAGCTCCGTAGACTAAACCCCTGAAAAGAGGTGGGTGTCATCGTGTCATCGTTTGTTGCCGTTGGTAGCGTGATGGTTCCATCAGCGAACGAGCACGCCTGTACCGGCCGGCGTCATAGCTTTTGGGAGCTGGTGAAGGAAACGGAATCAGAAGAAGACGGAGTCAACAACGAGCAGCTCCGAGACGACGACGACGAGAGTCAATGAGGACATCCATCCGTCCCGGTAAAATGTTCGTCGCAACACCACCAAAACAATTTCAGTTTGCGAGGCACATGTAGCCTGGACAAGAATGACCATAGCAACAGCACCCCTCTATCGCCACCACTAACACCAACAGCGCCAACCGCGACTACAACTACTGATATACCGTTCCATACTCCCTTGCCCGGCATACGGATTACCCACCGAACTTCCACCACCAGCTACGACTACACCGACAACAGCACGCGGAACGTTCCGTATTCCCATGTCCGGCATAGGGAATACCCACCGAACCGCCACCTCCACTGCTCAACACCGCCTGCAAGCACACGGAATGGTCCATGTCCACTTGTTCGGGCATGCGGAGCACCACTCACCGATGGGCTGCTGGAAGAACTCGAGCGGTGTCCCCCTCGCCCGCATTGCCTTCGGGTCGTACGGGCGGCGGCGCTCCAAGAACACACTCCGGCATGCCTGCACCGCAGAAACCCAAAGTGCAAGAAAAAAAAATGGCGAAGAAAAAAATTCCAATGACCTCTCTCAGAACTACTTCTCACTGCCAGCGCTGAACAAAAAAAAATGAACACCTTTCCAAGTTTTTTGTGTTGTTTTGTTCGTGAGCTTGTTCAACTCGCGCGTGAGGAGTTATTCAGTTGATCCGTAGTTGATCCGTCCGGGCGTGCCATATCCCGCAACACCAGCACCACACTTGCAGGTTGGAGCGAGGTGGTAATACAGAACAACCCTGTTCCTCCCTCCGAAGAGCCCATTTTGATCCCTAGCTAACCTAGCACGTCGAATTGCCCAAAGGCTTGGCTGGTTGGGACACACACACACCGGTAGACATTTGCACATCTCCTCTGTTGCTACCGTTTCTGTCTTTGATCCGGAGAATAGGTTAGCCTCCCCCATGCCGCCCCCTCACGGGGTCCCAGTTCATGACATTTAGAAGTGTTTTGTGTTTTCAACCGCACTGAGACTGACGTCTTTTCATTGGTCAGCCGGTTAGCGCGGTCGATGCCAACAATAAAGACACACACACATACACCGGTCGGTATAATCGTTTGAATAGAATGCGTGTTCGCGTTTTTATCCCGCTACTACATCCGGTTAGCGCAGTCGATGCTAGTTACGAAACACACCCACCCACGGGGCGCTACAGCAGCAGCAGCAGCAGCAGCAGCAGCAGCAGCAGCAGCAGCAGCAAGAGGTTCTCTCACTCACCTTGGCGTGCGATCGAAGCCTCCCGGGGGCGAAGGTCCGCCCGCAGTCCCCGCACCGCTCCTCCTCCGCTCCTCCTGCTCCTCCTCCGCCCAAAGAAACTTCCAAACCCACGCCGGAAACTTCTCCCGCCGCCGCACCGCGCCCCCCCCCAGTAGCAACAACGCCTCCGAGCTCGGAATTTTCCGAGGCGACTGCTGGTGCGAGAACGTTCTCCGGACCGTTCCCTTTCGAGACGAAGGGAGGAAGAGCGTGCTGCAGGAGGGTAGACGAGTCTTGGAATGAACCGCCGTTCAGCGAAGATGCGCCTTAGTTGAATTGCGGGAGGGGGGGGGGGAGGGGGGGGGACGGGGGGGCAGAGGGGACGGGGGGTAAGATGGCAGTCATTGAGCTGGGCGGGTCGGGGGGGAGGGATCATTCTCTGGTTCGGCATGTGCTTGGTGTCAGGATTGCCATGAAAACAATAGGCTCCGATCTCTACCATAAATACAGGCAACAAAGACGGACGGAGTTTGCCGGGTTTTGGATGCCAGGAGGGGGGAAGGAGGGGGGGGAACAGGGGTCACATTTCTCTCTGCTCTATACCAGCCTTGATGCCTACTTCCCGTAGCCCATTGCTGTTCAAGCATTCTTAAACCTCCCGGGCTAATACTGCACTAGACGCTGGGTCTGTCTTCCGCTTGTGCAGGCGGGCTTGAACTGAAGCAGTGCTACAAAATTTTGGAGAGTCGTAAGATCACCGCCAGGCCAACACCGCCGACAGCAAGACACAACCACGTACCCCCCCCCGCAAACATTTACAACAATCACGACAAAGAGGTGGGTATGCTCACCTTTGCCGTGAGTGTTGGTAGCGCTAGTGTGCATCTGGTGCTCGACCGAGACGGCTCTGATGGCCACTTCTACCTGGACAACACATGCAAACGATTGACGGGACGGATGAGAAGGAGCGTTTGAGTTCGTGTACATTGTCGTTGCAAACGTTCAGCCTGTAACACCACAGAAGAACAGGCATGCATACATACGTACATGCGCGTGGTCATACATTTAGACGGGCTTAAGGTTGGTTCCTGAAGCACAGCGTGTGCACCTTTGGTGGCTACAACAGTGGAGGGCCACAAGAGAACCCCCCCCCCCTCCCGCCTTTGCCGCGACCGAACGAGATCTTCAACCGAGGACATGGTGCTCAGTTTTCAGGAAAAGCGTTCCCGTTTTCTTTTGCTACTCCGCCAAGACAATCATCGATAATTTGCCACGAAGCACAGGCATTTTATTGCCACGAATTATTGCCACTAAGTAAGGCAAGCATCGGCGATTGCCACCATTTATGACAACCATCGACAAAGACCACGAAGGGAGGCATCGATTGCTGGAATAATCGACAATTACCAATGTTTAAGCCAAGTATCGATAGTTATATCGTCGTGAGGGGAGTTCGAAAGGGGAGGTGCCAACGGCAGACGGTAGGCATAATATAAGAAGGAAGCTATGTAGGGTTGTAATAGTTCGGTCCTTGTTTGTTGAAAATGAAATGTACGTTACCTTACCTGCTTGTGTGTCTCGCTCCCACGGCATCGATCGAGCACGTAGCACTCCTGGCCGTAACGGACGGATGGACATTAAACAAATAGAAGTAACGGACGGATGGACAATTAAACAAATATAAGTACGGATGAACATTAAACAAATAGAAGTAACGGACGGATGGACAATTAAACAAATATAAGTACGGATGAACATTAAACAAATAGAAGTAACGGACGGATGGACAATTAAACAAATAGAAGTACGGATGAACATTAAACAAATAGAAGTAACGGACGGATGGACAATTAAACAAATAGAAGTACGGATGAACATTAAACAAATAGAAGTAACGGACGGATGGACAATTAAACAAATAGAAGTACGGATGAACAATTAAACAAATATAAGTAACGGACGGATGGAATTAAACAAATATAAGTAACGGGCGGATGAACAATTAAACAAATATAAGTAACGGACGGATGGACAATTAAACAAATAGAAGTACGGATGAACAATTAAACAAATATAAGTAACGGACGGATGGAATTAAACAAATATAAGTAACGGGCGGATGAACAATTAAACAAATATAAGTAACGGACGGATGGACAATTAAACAAATAGAAGTACGGATGAACAATTAAACAAATAGAAGTAACGGACGGATGAACAATAAACAAATGTAAGTAGGAAAAAAAAAAAAAACAGGCCATGTTCATGTACTAAGCACGAATGTGGATGCCGGGTCGAGTCACGCAAAACAGCGAATGAGAGGATGATCATTTTATGAGAGGATGATCTGAGAGGATGATCATTCTGTTTTCGTAAAAAAACGTGTCTTCTTGCTGTGGAACTCCACCCTGAGCCTCGGACACTTGTTTGGCATAATTCCTGCTGATCAAACTCGAATCATCCCTATCCTAGCACGGCAAACACCAACGAAGCTCTAGACGATCAATTCTTGCGGGTTCTCAATCCCTTGGTATTGCCATAACATCTTTACCGAATCCCGCGACATAAAATCACTACAAACCAGCGGCTGTGAACCGCTGGGAAGGAAAAACACACACGAACGAAACAGGGTTAGATACACGGCATAGCTTATACCTGAAGATATTACCCCGCAATCCCCGGACCAATTTTCAAAGCTAGACTACTCCGCAGCGGAAAAGAGTGGCGTTCGAACCGTCCCGTCGACAGCCTTCTCAAAACACACCGTTTGATTAAGTTTACTTGGAGTGCCTCCTTTTCGTGATGGAGCAATCGATGAGCTTTTAAGAATCGATCCAGGGGGTGTGATATCGTCCTTCACCCCATATACGGTATGTACGTATATACCTGCAGATGGTCTCGCAATCCCCCCGCACGGACAACGCCTTCGCCGCAAAAGGGGCAGAACACCAAGGGCCGGGCCTCGGAGTCTTCGCTGAACAGCTGCCGTCGAACCTTTCGCGGAAAAAAAGGGCCCAAAGAAGAAAAAGAGGTTAGTGAAGTACTGCTGTAAGAGGCAGAAACAGACGCCACAACTTTACGACCCTGAACACAATGACGCGAGGAACGAGCATGGAGACCCAAACATCGACGCCCGTTCCAGGGACAAGGGCTGTTAACCGATTCAATTTGAGTCCCCCCCTTCTGACTGAAAAACTCGATTGATGTCGCATCGTGCGAACCCTGACAAACATGACACCCTCGCTCTTTCTAGTCATTACCGTCGTCGGGGATTCATGTAACGAGCATCCCCGCCGCCCCCCCTCCTCCCCAAGCAACAAGAGACGCCAACCACTCCCATCAACGCCCCCTCCCCCCCCCCTATAACCGACTCTCCCTCACCCTGTGTCTCAACACGGAAGACCCCGGCAATAGCCCCCTCCCCCCGCTGCTGCCGCCCTTCGCGTCACACACTCCCGTCTTCCCACCGCTGACGCCGCTACCGCTGTACCGAACCGTATCCGCTTGAGCGCTCCGTCGTGACCGGGACGATGGGTGGTGGTGGTGGTGGTGGGTCTGATACACGGGGACCCCGGCTAGCGCCGTGGTCGGGGTCTCTGCGGCTGTAGCCCACAAAGCCGTATCCGCTGCTGGTTCTTCTAGCCCTTGATGGGAATGGTGCTCTTGGGGCTTGCTGCTGCTGACGAAGGAAATCCGCAGGTCCATCCCGAGCAAATGAAAAGGAGCGCAGAGATTAAGGAGAAAGTTTTCACCCGGAACAGGCGGCTGTCCCGCGGTGATAATCGACTTTCATCGTCGGCGCATGTTTCCGAAGGCGGGTTGGGGGGTGAGCAAGTCTTGACACAGAGGAATGCGGTAAACATAGCTAGTACAAGCGACTATTGGCGCCCATGCCCGTGATTTATGAAATACCTAGATAGAACGTGCCCGAAAATCAGAGCGCTATGTAGAACCACCAGGTGGTTCATCCTATCGTCGCCCCGTCGGCAAGGTGAGCCATTACTATTTTTTTTTAGCTCTTGATCGTGTCCCTTGTCATCAAGGATATTGCATTGTAAGAGTACGCTGACGCTTGTTTCGCATTCCACCACCATCTCCTATTGCGGATCACCAACTAGGCATTCCGACAAAAACGAACCTCACCGAGAAGACAAGGGGTGTTCCATTTCCTCGCTGCGCCGCACGGGACCCAGGGGACGCCGATGAAACGTCCCCGGTATTCTTTCGCTCGAAAACGCCTCCTTATCCTTGCTCATGTGTGCGTCACCTGAACGCATAGCCCCTGCCCCCTGACCACCGCCTCGTCTACGGTTGGAGCGAGAGGCAGGGGACGACAGCGAAGCGTCCCCTCGCCCCCCCGATTGCACCCGGACGTAGTGCACGAAGTCCTGCAGAGAAGCCGAGGACGACGTCTGCGACGACGGGCTTCCCCCGCCTCCGACGTGGTAGCGCTGGTCTTCCTTTCTTTGTCCGGCCCCTCCGCTCTAGACACAGCAAGTTGCAGTTTGCGACATGGTCCAAACACGTAAATACACAGCAACTTGGAGTTTGCGACATAGGAGAGAAAGGATGCAGATGCCGTAGCCGGGAGTTGGATAGGCGAAGAGGCGGATGGTACAAAAAAAAAGCTGGGAGAGCCGATGATGATAGTGGTTGCCTTCCCCAGCCGTGTCAGCGATGAGAACCTCGCACACCGCGACTTTTCGCACCGGCGGGCTACAAGACACTCCACAAGCGCGACGGTAAACAGGAACACACTTCACACTTCGACACTCGTGCGCCATGCTCTTGATCTTACGACGGACTGAGCGGGGGGCTTTTTCATCGGAGTTGATCTGGCGGGGCGCCCCGCCTCTCTGCCGCTGTTGCTGCTTCGGCCGTGGTGCGAGCTTGCGGTTAAACCGAAAAACCGAAAAACCGAAAAACCCTTAAACCTGAGTCGTGGGATGACGGGTACCACGAAAACGTGTCCGCGTATCCCCCTCATGGTTGACACCCACACAAGAAGTACTAAGCCAAGCAACACCAGCAGCAGCACTACTTGGCCCTTCAGGAGCAACCGCTCGAGGTGTGAGCATGAAAACATAGTCTAGCCAGAGAGATCGGCCACCCGGCGACAGACAGCACGCTTCTCCCTTCCGCCTACTTGGCGCTTGGGAAAGGAAGGGCGCGATACCTGAGAGCTTAGGCCCTGCTGCCCGGTCGCCATCGCCGCCGCCGCCTCCATCTCCAATTCTCTGTCCGTTTTAACCGGACCAGCACCACCCGTAGTCGGTGCATCCACCGTCAACTGAGCCTCCGTCTCAAACTCCTCTCCCTCCCGCACCGCAGCAGCAGCCGCAGCAGCAGCCCTTGTCGTCACTGCCGCCGGCTCGTCAGGCAACACCTCCGTCAAGCAAGCCGACCCCACCTCGACGCCGTGTTCGACCTGACGGCGCGGCGTCTTCCCCTCGCCAACCGCCGACCCTCTCCCACCCACCGCCGCCGCCTGACCCCCCGTCGAACCCCCCGCACCCGGCGGGGCCGCCCCGCCCTCGATACCCGCGCCGCCGCCGGCGGACGGCACCGACATCGAATGCCCTACAGAGCAGGAGAGCCGCGGCGCCGTCGGAGAGACGGGTCGTTCCGGGTGCTTGTCGTCGTCGCGGGTTTTTTCCACCAAAGAAGCGGTTTCGTCGGCGGAGAAGTAGCCGGTCGGGGGCGCCGGGGAGGCCGAGACGGTGTGGGCGTTTTCCGTCGAGGTAAGCGTTTCGACAGTCCCACCGTTGTCTCGGGGGCTCCGCGCGGCGGCGGGGGGGGCGGACTCCCTTGGGAGGTGGCGGCGGCGGTTGCGGGCGTCATTTTTCTGATCATCGGCGTCGTCGGTGGTGGCGGTGGTGCGTGTTTCTGGTAAAGTTGACGGTGTTGCTGCTGCTGCTGAAGCTGCTGCTGAAGCTGCTGCCGTTGCAGCGCACAGCGACGAGGGTGCCCGAAGGCCACTCTTGTGGACCACAAACCTTCGCTTCGGAGTCGTGACAGCACCCCCATCGCCACACCCCGTCGTGCCGACGCCGTTCTTTACGCGGGCAGACGCGGTGGCGGGGGTCGTCGGGTGGCCCGCGGTGGCGGCGGTAGTGGGAGACGAAGCGGCGGGTGACTCGAGATCACTCGTCGTCATCGGCGTTACCTCCGACAACGTCGGCGCAATCAAGAGGGGAGCACCACCGCCACCGCTGTTATCACGACCGAACCTGTGTGTATGGGGATGTGTAGAATGTAGAATGAAGACCAGAGCGGGGGACCCGCAGAGGGCGTACGCCGGAAGCGGGAGCGGAGCGGCAGGGATAAACACACTAGACAGGTGGACATCGATACGAGGAAAACGGAACGGGGGCGTTCTGACCACACGACTAAAAGTTCGACCACGAGACTACCCACTCGCGGGCGCGGGGCAATACCAGGGGGCCCAGCGAGCTTTTTTCACGGGGTAGGCGACGGCTTTCTCAGCTACATGAGCTACAATTGTACCGGACGAGAGAGAGCCGGTGCACGAGAATCGGAGAGGGGAAAAAGCGAGAAAACTCGAAAACAACACAACAACGAGGTAAATGGGGACCGGGAAGGAGAATTGAGTCAAGGGGGGAGGGGGGGGGGGGGGGAGGCGCAACTCGATACCGGGGTACGAGTGGACGGTGGATGGCAACGTATCGCAACACGGTTGGCGTCCAAAGGAGTGGTCCGATTGACCGGCTCACCTCTCTCTCGAAGAGTCCGCCTCCCGCGCTCCTCCCGCCCCCGCCCCACCGGGACCACGAAGAAGAGGATCGATAACGCCTCCGCTGGTCCTCTCACTACCGCTGGTGGCGGAGGCGGGGGCGGTGGACTTGTCGCCGATATTGATGTTCACGGTGGCGGCCAAGGCGAAAATGCGGTACCCCGCCGGTCGGTTGGGGTCCGGCACGAACGTGGCGGTAGGGGGCAGGGTCCACCGGGGCACCCGCGTCCGGCGGTTGTAGTAGTAGCTGCGGGATTCCCGTGCGAGCGGTTTCGGGCGCGTCGGGGTCGGTGCAACTACCAAGGATGCCTGTGTGTGTATGACCCGTGTTGATTATGTATATACCGGATGGTGCAGACTAGCGCCAGAATAGATGGGTCACAACACACATACTTGACATGCTGATTGGTCGGTCGTACATAGAGCAACATAGCGTACACATACCAAAGGGTTGTTGGCCTGTGACAACGGGACACGTCAGTTGGATCTGTACCGATGTTATAAGGGTACTGAGCAGAGAACCGAACGGCTTTTGATGTCAAGACAACAACAACAACAAATATCCGGGGGGGGGGGGGGCGGTGCTCACATCTTCCCCTCCGCCGTGCGCGCCTCCTTCCACTCGTCGTGCTCAACCGTCAGCAGTTCCGCCGCATCATGCCCCGCCGCCGCCACTCCACCCAAACACGGTGGGCCGCCGCCCGCCGACGCTTGGCCTTTTCTTGCACCGCGCTTGCCGCCTCCCCCCCCTCGCCCCATGCTCTCAGCAGCGCTCATTCGCTCGCTGCTCCGGCCCACCACAAACCTCGACGACTCCGTCTGCTTCCAGGGGAAATCGTCCACTACAGCCGTAGCACCAGTAGAACCGGTTTTCCTATCCCCTCGGTCGACAGGCCTCGTCTCGGTGGTGGAGAACCCTAGGGTGTACGCACGATCATTCTCGTGTTGTTTCGCGGCGGTGCGAGTGTGCATACTAGTTGCGGCGCCGCCGCTGTCCTCGTCATACAACGTGCCACCGCTGTGGTTGTTGTTGCTGTCATCGTCGTCGCTGCGGTCGTGACGCACCATTGGCGCTATACGCACAGGCTCGTGGTCGGAAGGCGAAACTCCCATCCGACGGGCCCCTCCTCCTCCTCCTCCTCCTCCTCGATTTCCCAATAGGACGTGTCCCGAAATCTGTTGCGTTTTTTTTTTATTTTGTGTCCGAGGACAGGAAAAACAACACTGTTGTTGCGGTTCGCATAATGTTTTCGAGCGCTGAGATGATAACGAGACGAGTGCCACTTTCTGCACGCGGGCGTAACGCATCCAAGTGCGCGAGTTGCCTGCGAGCACTAATTTTTTCACACCGGCTAGTTCTTGACGATCTACATACTCAGCCAAGGCGTGTTCCCGACCGTATCCCTCGCTGTCTGCGTAAGAGCCCATCAACAACACCCACAAGAAACGACCACACTCATTGTTGTTGTTGATGTCGACACTCGTTGTTGTTGGTGTTGGGTTCACGTCAAAAACCGTTCCGGTCTCCACTCAGTAACAAGTGCCTTCTAATGTCCATACTGGTCCAGCTGACTGAAGCGGACACTTGAAAAAGAGATAAAACGAACGCCGTTCTCAACAAACGTCCGCCTGTTGTGAGCTAGGTGATATTGTCTCTCCCCTCACGATGATGGCCCACTGCTGCTGTGTAACTCACCTTCTTGGGGGTGACGAAACATCCCTCCATCTTGTGGAGACCCTCGAGGGGGAGAGTTGGCGATACCGCCCTCGCATTTCTCCCGCCACCACCGCCGCCTCCTCCGCCTCCGCCCCTGTCGCTCCTTTCGCAATATCCTCCTGTTGCCCGACCTGCCGCTCGATCCGGCCACGCGGTCCTAACAGCGCGTTCGGGCTTCATCACCAGAGCCAAGTCTCGATCTCCGCCTTGTCCATCTAGCTGTGGGACCATCATATACAGCAGTAGCGGTGGGCCTGGATTAGCGACCCCTCGTGTCAGGAGGGAATATGGCCGCTACACAGGGCAGGTGGCTATGGCAGGTGTACAGAGGCTATTGGTTGGGGTACAGAGTGGTGCCGCGCGATTATCGCGGTCGTTATATACACACAAGGCATGTCGCTAGATGGGTGTGCGCTAAACCGGCCCTACCACAGTTGTAGGGGGGTCAGAAACACGTGGAACTAGCGGGACAGAGGCCTACGGCGTACAAGTGCAAATACACCTTGGCCGCAACTCCGGGGACGGACATCCCCGCCTCTGTTGTCACCCCTGCCCGGCACGATATAGGGACGGGATGATGGGGTTCCCAAGCCATCCAATCAATGTCAAGTCGCCTTGCTTGGAGATTCGTCTACGGCTAGGGTCAGCGTTAGGGCATCGACCACGTCTCCAGCAAGAAGCAAGGTTTGTCTACGTCGTCAGAGGCAGCCGAAACGTAGATTGGCATCATCGCAGCGGCGGGCATGCCCTTGCTGGCAGGACCCACTGGTCGTCCACTCGTACACCCCCCCTTAGCCTAATCTGATGCCTTTGGTGCAAACAGAGGTACCAGTACCAACCTTGCCATCGACGAGTAGCCAGAAAGAGGGGGAGTAGGGCGAAGACAAACTAACCTTTGGTGGCGTGAGGCAGTCGGTGGTCGATCCTAGCAACGCTGCTGAAGCCGGACTGCTACCGTCATAAGCCGCTCTCTCGCGCTCGTCGCTGCGCCGCCGATGCTCAGCCTCCATACCACTTGGAACCCCCTTTCCTGATTGTGTGAATCTCGTTGTTACGCCCCGTCTTTTGGCCACCTGTTATTGTTTCATTTTTTTGTCTTGGGCATTCCTGTTTTCGTCATCTTGTCATTGAATGCCGACGATCGTGTGGTGAACCTCGAGGGATTGGATGGACGACGCCTACTTCGACTGTTGTGGCTGCTGTGGATTTGACAAAAATTGAAAAGAGTGTAGCAACCAAAATTTCAGTGGAAAACTCGCAAAAATCCTAGTCCCTACATCTCTGTACCATGGCAACACTTCCTGCAGGACGACGGGGAATATGCAACATAAGCGACCTCGGTTTTAGTGCTGCGTGTATGTCGAGCAGAGCCCTTGCCTCTCTGCGAGCAAACGCACGCCGGACGCTAAGAACGGGCTTCTTCGTACGTATCCCCCCCCCGCCCCTAATTTAATCTACAGCATGTGGCCGCCGAAAACATCGGCACTATACCGGGCACTGGCCATGTTCAACCGGCACTATTGAGGGGCATTTACTTCAATATATTGTTGGAGGTTTCACGAGAAAACACCAGCCGTGATGCAACCGCGGATGCATTGGGCGTTGATGGTTGACCAGCGAGAACATGGAAGACGGACGGCTATGAGTAAGGATATTCAAATCCCCCGCGGATGGTGTCGTCAACACTTTGGCCGTACAGTAGTATATTGCGTAAGATATCACCCCCCCCCCCCGACACACACAGCCAATGGACCATTCAAAACGACGAGGAAAGAAAGGAGAACTCCACACCCCGCGTTGATCACGGCTTCCGTGAGCCCCTGCTGTATCCCGTCGCAAAACGAACAGCAGCATTCATTTCCATGTGGCAAAAACTTAGACTTCTCCGCAAACAGGAGGCAATGCAAGGCGGCACGCATGGCGTAGCAGCAGCAGTGATCAACGTCAACTGCTGTCACAGGACATTTAAAAAAACCCAACCGACGTGTTCGAAACACGGGGTATTCATATGTGCAACCAATTAACCCAATTCGTCGCCCTCCCAAGATCAACTCTATCTCAGCTCAGCTACCGTTGCTGCTGTTGCAGTTGTCAGTTGTCAAGCCACGAGCACGTTGGCTGGCACATACATTCACGGCCAGCTCGCAATACCTAGGACACAGAGCCAGCCGGTTTGTAGCCCTCGAGGAAGGGCGAACACCACGGGGTAGAAACCAAAACACAAAGACGGAGCCTCACCTGGTGTGCGGGTCGGTGCTGCCGTGCGCCTCTGTCCCGCGAGCTGCGCTCTCTCTCTCACACACACTATTTCTACTACTGTACGGTATCTCTCGCTCTCCGCTCCGCTCCGTCCCGCTCTCGACTCTCGGGCCCACGTTTGAATTTCTGATACGGAGGCGTTTCTTCTGCGAAGAAAAAAAAATAACGGCTCTACGTGCAGTCTATACGACGACTTATACTGGTGCTGTCGTACAACGTACAACGACCAGGGCCTGTTGTCGTCAAGACGCGTGGTACGCGGTATGATATGCGCCAGAAATACTACGAAGGGATATACACCTTTCGCAGAATTGATTGGTGGTTCGAGTGGGTAGCACCAGCATGATAATTGGTGCGCTTGATCTTTGAAGTAAGTATGAGACGTTCCGACTGCTGTTGAACACAGAACGGAGTATGTATTTTCGTGTTACGTATTTAGCCTTCGTTTTCAGCTCGCAGGATCTCGCAACGTCCTCCACTAGCTCGGGCTGACCGAAGTAGATAAGCATCCCTCTTGTCATCACAGCTAGTTCCAAACGACGCCTTAACGTCAGGTTTGGCACTTGCTTCCAGGTAGGAAAGAAAGCAGCGTGCTCTGCTCCCCTCACACGACCCTCACTACATTCATCGAAGAACACTCTCTCTCGTCTACAAATATTCTCCACGTCCAAGCGAAAGAACACAAACGAACGGCAACACAGCACGAGCGAGCGCGGACGCCCACCGCTTTTATTGCAAGCAAGCGTGTTTTTCCTTTTCGCCCACACGATCCAAAATGCTTCCCGTCTCTCCTCCTCTGTCTTAGTCCAGCCCACCCCTCTATCAGTTGTCCACTCGTCCCCAAGTATTTGGTGCGGGGCCGTTCGCCCCCTACAAACCGTGTGGGGATGAAGACCCGCAAACAAATGACTGTTTCCTCCAGCCGGAGTGAAGTACGAGAACGAACACCAACAAATAATCCACACACCACCAAAAAAGGACACACAAGTCTACACCCCACTCGCCCGTCTACCGTTCTGTTCATTTCTTTCTCACACGAACAAGTATGCGGCTGCATCATGTTTTTCATGTCAGGGGGTGCAGAAAGGTATTCAGAGGGTCCATTTTCCGCGTCCACTTCACCTCACCGTGGAAATAACGACGGGTACCCATGATCTAGTGCTGCTGCTGTATCTGCGTCCTCGTCCAAACGCCCCCCCCCCTAACGACACGACAATGAGTACACCCCCCCCCCCGGACGATATTCCACCACCCGCTGTTTCCTCTATGTCACAAAACAGTAAATACTACCTACCCTCGGTCGATGCACGAGTAACCAGGTGTCAGGCACCCACTTTTCTTCGTGCTACTGTACCCAGATCACGGCGGCTGATCTCTCTCTCGCGTGCGCGAAAGGAAGGCGAAGGGCAACTGTTGCCCCGCAAAGAAGCGCTTATCTCATCCATTGTCGAGCGTGCCGTTGGACCCCTCAGTCAGACACATCGATACAGTCACGGATACTTGAGTGCAACTTGTAGGCTTAAAACAAACACAAAGAAAGTCCATTCTACTTCATTCCGTGAAAAGACTTGATTGATCAGACGCAACCATAAGTCCAGTATCCAGCAGCCCTTCCCCCCCACTTATTGAAAGACAAGACTTTCAACACATACATCCCTTCGGCTGTGCGGTTCTCTCGAACGGGCAGTCCTTCAGTGATTATATGCCATTTATTTTCTAAAAAAAAATCCCGGTGGCCTGCAGTCTACAAACACCACCAACACACGATTGAAACGAACACACGAGACGCCGACAAAACTACGAGCAAGCAGAACACATAATTCACAAAATTGTAGAGAACGAACGGACGCAAGTGCTACCGCTTCCAACTCTTCGATGGCAACCAAGCCCCTTCGGAGAAGTACCCCCACGTGTGGGGGCGAAGCTGTTCTGAACACCAATCGTCCATGGAGAACCTGGCGGGAAACAGTCCAACAGCAGCGGCCGTCTCTCCCTCGGTCCCGACGTCGAACGCCTCTCTGAACTCCACCACCAGGTCCACGAAATGGGAGTGAATCTTCTGGCAAACGCCTCTTCGCGACCACCACCACTTCCGCTCGGTGGAGGCCAGGAGGACGCGGGGCAATGCCGCGACGACCCCGCTCGTGAGCGACTGTACCCCGGTGTCCTGTAAAGAGAAGGGATGGGGGTGAGCAGGCGGAATACACGGGCGGGCCGTGTCGTGTTCGTGTGTAATATTTCTGTATGCATGCATAATATCGCACGGGAATGACGGCGTGCATCGGCGTGTTGTATGGCTACATTTTACACGTCGCGTGTGAATGGGGTCATCTGTCTTCAGCGGGATGGCTTCGTAGATCTCTCTTGAGCGGGATGGCTTCGTAGATCACTCTTGAGAGGGATGGCTTCGTAGACCACTCTTGAGAGGGATTCGTAGCGGCAACAGACACTCAACCCCACACACAACGGGCGTTTGAGAATAACGTGTGGGAATAAGGTTGAAGTATCGGCGTGTTGTTTAGATGGGCGGCTTTGTTTGTCGGCACCTCACATGGTAGGGCGGTAGGGACGGCGGCGTGGGCGGCGTAGCCAATGAAAGGCACAACAAGTGCTACTTCAAGCGGTCTAGACAAACAAGATATCCGGCTTAAGTGACCGTAGACTTCGTGGCCCTCGCAAGACCCGTGTAAGAAAGTTCAGCTGTCGATGAATTGCACCATTAGCCCATCCAACCCGCCCACGGCACCTTTGTCTCTTTCGTCTGTGTTGAAAGGCTACTTCCGCACTCCTGCAAAAAACGCACGACACACCCCGTCGACAAGTACCGCATGCCCTGCTTAGCGACTCCAAACGAGTGCAGCCAACGAAGAAGCTGAACGCGTGTCGATATCTACTGTGTTTGCCCCTGCCAAGGTCCCTGTAGGATTCCACAACTCATGATAGACGGGACCATACCTGAAAGCTCCAGCTTTGGCTGTCGCTGGGATGTTTTATCAGATGGTTGAAGACGGGAGCCGCGACCGTATTAAACACTGATCACGGTGCAACTGAATCTGAACTTCTACCCGGAATAACGCCAGCTGACGAAATGAAGCGAAGCTGTACGTTCTTATCTTCGTTTTCGGCAACCGCGCGCATCATCTCTGCCCCGATTGGTTTTCCACCCCTCCCTCGTTTTCGTTGTACCCCCTCGTACCTCCAGATTGTCCAGGTAAGCGGTGACTGTGTTGTTCATCGCTGACGGATAGTCCTCGTCGATCATCGCCAGCACTTGTAGCTTGACCGCCAGTTGCTGTCAGCAACAGGGACAAGAAGCGTATTATTCGAGAACCGAGGGCGAGGACGACGGCTCAGTATCATCATACATTGGACACGGAGAAAAAATAGACAAGTTTAGTAGTCGCCTTGTTTTGCTCTTTACTCGCAAACTAACGTGCCCCCACAGCTGGTTCCGAAAGAGTGGGCAGCTATCGCTGCCCGCAACCCTCGAGCGATCAAGAAGAGAGCAAGACGAGAGCAAGGGCGCCCACGCTTGGTAGGGTGTCCTCTTGACCCTCATAGTGACAACATCTGTCGAGTCTTACGCGCCGAAGAAGGACTCTTCACCCCCCACCCACGCCTCTCTCCCCTCATCTGCCCCACCGGGACGTTGTTGGTCTTCTGCGGCATCCATCGCGTGTGGCGCTTGCTTTGAGTCATTTGCTTTCGACAGCGAAAAGAGTAATCGGAAAACGCCTTCCACCTTCTGCAGGCCGCATCCTGCACGTACGTGTGTGTTCCCGCTTTGTCCAGCACTTGCTTCTCTATACACCGCTGTACTGGTACAGCGTACCAAACGTCCTCTTATTCGAGATGAAAAGCCAGCTCTAGATAGAAGGGTCCCCCTATCTGGGCAAGAAACTCCTGGGGGTGTTGTGCAAGGCCAGTGCAAGGTACCACCAAAATGACCTTGCGCCAACCAAAGCAGAATCACCAATTGCTTCAGTGGTTTTACGCCTACTGTATTACGTGGGACTTGGAAGCATGGGCTTCTATTTTGGAGAACACATGTCGAAAAACATAAAATGATCCCGATCAAAGACGACAGCACCTGCACTCTTTGATTGGGTGAATTCAATATAAACCAATAGCTGCGGCTTTGCTCGGCGGAACCAAACGAGCAAGAAACAAACCTGGGAGGAGTTGGTGCCGGAGGCAATGAAGCGTCAATTCCGTTTTGATAGAGAGTAAACTAGCTAACATTTTCTGCGGTTTTGGTGGGCCGGCCCAAACAAACAGGAAACAAACCTGGGAGGAGTATGTGCCGGAGGAGTGCGGCATCAGGTCCGTGTTGAAGAACACCTGGCCGCGGTCGAACCCTTCCTGCTCGCGGTACCTCTCGACCGCTTCGCGGACGTGGCCGTAGCACGCCGTCAGGTTCCCGGTCGATGTCTCCGTCCGCCACTGAACGGCCAAGAACGCCTCGTTCTCCCAGCCCTTTTTCGACCACCACCACACATACATCGGGGAGACCGCGAGTTGAACAATCAATCATAGAAAATAGTAAGGTTTGGGGGAGCGCGGGGGGGGGGGGGGGGGGGGGGGGGGGG